TATTTCTAAAGAATTTATAAACGAGTCTATGAAAATAGAATCTTCTACTTTTATTATAAAGCTCTTAGAAACCAATAACTATATTACTGCCGGAAAGTTATATAAATAGGCTAAGAAACCTGATATTTTACTCTCAGATATTAATATTATTATAAAAAGCTACCGGGAGAATATCCAAAGAGCTATTTCGTATAAGAATACCTATAGTTATAATAAAGCTATTTTCGAGAATACCAAGCTCTATAATACCAAGCTCGAGAATAAAGTCAAATACTATATAGCTATAATAGATTAGTTTATAATAGCTCTAGCTATTCCCGCTCTAGCTATTCCGAATTCCTTTTAAAAGAATTCCGAACTATTTCTTACTTATTCTCGTCCAGGATTCCCTATATCTTATACTTCTTTTAGAGGTACTAGAGTTACTAAGCTCCCAGATCTAACTCTCTTTACTAGAGATTATACTATCTTTAATAACTGGCTAGTTCAGATTAAGAATAAGCTATAAGGAAATACTAATTTATATTCCTTAGAAAATCTCAAGATTATCTATATTTCTAGTAGACTTACTAGTAATACTCTTACCTTAACTAACTCTTATATAGATAAAGATAGTCCGAATTAGTACTATTAGCTCTTAGAGTTCTATTCCTATTTAAAGAAGCTATTTTCTAACCCTAATAAGATATAGAATACTTATTATAACTTTAGTAAGCTTTAAATATACTCTAGTTAAGTATTTCAGGAGTTCTATACTTTCTTCTTATAACTGTCTATAGAAGGCAGTATTAGTTTTTAAGATATTAAGTATAAACTAAATAAGAAGCTCCTATTAAAGCTCTAGAAGTTAGTATATATATACTATAATAATTCTTCTATTAATACTACTTGCTTTGCTTAGTACTATATTACTAATAACTAGTAGATTAAGGCTATATATAAGAAGACTAAAGAGTATAAGAAGGCAGGAGCTATCCTAGCCAAGTTTACTTCTGGTACTATATTCCCGTATACTCCTAAGAAGTATACTCCTAAGAAGAAGCCTATATTAATTGCTCTTATTAAGTATATACTGTGGTACGGCAGGCCGTACCCGTCGAAAATCACGTTGTTTTGGCGGTTTTGAGGTTTAGGTCACATGGCAAAGGCCGCGGCCTTTTGCACGTGACTTGCGGAAATCACATAAGAAAGCTGGTTTTTCTGTAGACTTAGAGAACAATCCTTCATACACATTTAATTAATTAACCTTTTGCACACTGTACACTATTTATGCTTTACTGTTTACGTTTTTGATTTGTTGTTTTGCTATCTAGTCACGTTTTGCGCTCTGGTGTACTTTATGTGGGTTTTTGTCTTGTCGCAGTTTCCCTCCCACAATACTCCCTTATAGCCTCCTGTATTCTAGTTTTCCCTTCCTTAGCTTTGAATCGTCTTTATAAGGGACCTTCTACCTTGCTTTCCAAGCCCTGAATGCCGTACCCGTAATAGTTATAAGTAGTAAACTAATATATAGATGAGACTAGTTCAATTCCAATAAGTAGACACTTATAGATTACTACTTAAGTCACTTAATTCCCTTTACTAGACATTCTATATATACTTAAACTAGTTTCTCCTCTATCTACTTCATTTATAATAACTGCCCTTAAGAGTATACTATTTGTTTAATTTGCATTTCCCTTATTAAATTAACTATTTTATAATAGAAATATACTCTAGTCTTCTGAACTAAGCCCTTTAATTCCCTCACGTAATACTAGTAGTAGTTAAAGAATATATAGACCTATAGTTACTTTTTCCTGTTCTAGATATTAAATTAAGGTAGAGAGAAATATAGTAGTAAGAGCTAAAGGTATATAAACAAGCTACTATAAAAGTAAATTCGTTCTATATACTCCTACTAATAATTATAATAAATTAGATAATAATCTTCTATTTCTCGAGGAGTAGTTTTAGGTAACTCTATATCCAAAGATCTTAACTAAGGCCTTAGATACTGGATCTACCCTTTAGTATCTGGATTAGCTAGCTCTTTACTAGGCTAGACTATAAGTTAACTAGATATAACTAGAATCGGGTAAACCTCAGGATAATAGTCGAGGTAGGTATACCAGCTATCCTTTATACTTAGAAGCAGGCCGCTAATTATATATAGATTAACTAGTAATTCTTAATAATAACTACCTAGTTAAAGTAAGTACTAGGAATAAAGCTAAAGGCGCTTCTAGTATTAGCAATACTAGGTATATTAAACAGGTCACGAGTCTGTATAATACCTTTATAACCTTAGAACTCGCTGCTAAGCTATATAGCATGCCCTCTACTCCTATATAAGCCTAACCTCATACTCTCCCCTAATCCTTTAAGCTACTATAAGATTAAACTAACTAATAAGGTATTAATAATATTACTTAGAATACGTTAGTAGAGTTTGTACTCTACTCCCTTAAGCCTTTCAATAGCAGTAATAATAGATAGACTAATAAGAATATAGCTAAACTAGAGAAAGAACTAAGGTTAGCTTTAGAAGAGTAATAAGTAGAGTTATTATTAGCCGGTATATCTACTCCCCTAAGTCCTCGCTTAGTCGAGGTACTATAGGACCAGATCTAGAGTCGAGAACGGAGCGAAACTACTAGTAGTAGACTAGAAGAGCTTCGAGATGCTTCTTAATATAGTACCCTAGCTCAGGACCTTAAGTAGTAGGAGCAGTAAGACACTCAGGCGGTGGTGCAAGGAGGGGCCATAGTAATGCAGCAGGAAGAGCTTAGGTAGCTAGCTGTAAGTGATTAGTAGGACTTGGTCGAGGCTAATAAAGTAGATAACCCTAAAGATAAGGAAGCTACGGAGGCTCTACTAGCTATATAACCCAAGATCCCCGAGATAGACGAGTACCGTTCTCGACTATATAGAGTACGAGCTCAGTAGCTTACTAGATACTAGATAAAAATAACCTAGTACTAAGTTATATAGGGGAAATATCTAAATAGGTTAGATTCTTGGTTTAATAAAGATAATATATAGATATTAATACCTTATGAACTATACTCTTAAGACTTAGCTCTATAAGTAGACATTTTCTAAGTTTATGAGATATACTCTAGCCTATATAAAGGCAGAAATGTTTTTAAGTACCTAGTTAATATATTTGGTCTTAATAGCTATACCTAGACTACTAAAGATTAATTAAAAATCTCGCTTAGCCCTATATTAGTTACTAAGCTTAAAGGTAACTAGTTACCTCATAAATACCCTATTTTAGAAATCTAGAGGAATAGGTTACTAATGGAACATATCTTGAATAGCGTCTTCTCCCTATCCCTTGAGCGAAACACAGCGTGAGGTCCTTCTCAGACATTTAACAACTCCGATCAGTGACGAGTACCGCTATTCATTACGAGCCTCTCGAAGTTCCTTTGCCCTAGCTAATATAGCGCTAGAGGACGAACCTGCGACGTGGAAGCGAGGGCACTAAGACACGTATATAGAGATTAGTAGCGACACCTACCATTCCGTGAACACTAATAATAATCACAACGCCTGCGATACTGGCGATGAGGACCTACGACCTGCAAAATAACGAAAGCTATACGTAGCGCCTACTGTAACTTTAACCACTTCTTAAGGGCATACCCCAGAGCTCTATATTAGATAGCCTAGCCCCCTTATGGCACTGTCGACCGCTATACCTGAGATTAACGACGTGTAGCCTCAGGTCGATTACGAATATCTATCGACCTTCGTCGATAATAGCTACTAACATGCCTCGCGAACTTCTCGAAGCCTATCTGTAGCATCAGAGATAGTACCAGTTACTGAGTATAGGGAGTGGCCCTTCTAAGGCTTCCTCAAACGTACCAGGGTCGGGGATAATGTAACGTATAATCTTGAGTTTAAACTACCATTAATCTCGGAACACCTTCACTTACCGATTAATTCCAAAGCATTAGATATCTATTCTAGTAAGGAGGCGCCGGCAAAGGCTTCGACCCATCACGATGCTACTATATATTCCAAGATATACCAAGTACTATTGAAGCCAAATAAGAGCAAGGTTTCATGGATAGAAGACGATATAAAGCTGGCCTAGATGTGGAACGAAGGGCGTTCGTGGGAATACATCTTTGCTGCCCTCCCTAACCGGAGTAAAGGGTCCATCCGGGTGCGCTGTTCAACAAAATTCAAAAAGCGACCTCGTACAAGGGCCGGTCGTTGAACTGGTGGAGCAGTCGTTGAGGCTCCTTTATCGGAGGTCGAACCGTCAAGCAGCGACGATGATGACGATTCAAGTGATGGAGATCCAGACTTCAGCAGCGACATGGAGCGAGGAAGCAGCAGGAGGTGGAGCAGGAGAAGGACGAAGGCAATAGTGAGGATGAAGACGAGGGCCCGCAGCAAGAGATGAATGTTGTGGCACCAGTGGTAACGGCCGAAAAGGCTGGTGGAATTCCAAGACCGGCCAACGGACGGCAATCGCTTCCCAACCTCGACCTATCTCCAGAGTCGCGTTATAACGAGGCAGGAAGCCGATGCGATCGTGACAGCGACGACGAGCTCAACAGCTCCGACTCGGCTGGGGACGATGAGAAGGAACCACGTCCTGCCAAGCGGAAGCAGCCGTCCTCATCTCACGGTGGCCTAGCACGCAAGAAGCGCAGGCGCCCTCTTCAGCAGAGCCCTCCCTGCCAGTATCCCAAGTCGCACTCCCCTCTCAACCAGAGCTTCATTGTATCATACAGATTTCCCCAAAACTTTATAGCTCGCCTCGCCTATGTATTTTACCTTCTTTCCCAAACAGCCAATCACCTTGAAAGCATATCAAATCTTCAAACAGTGTCTTGAGACTGGTGTACTTCTATAGGTCGAGCCCTTTTCTTTAGTTTTTTAAATGCTTTCCCGTCGATCCTCTGAGACAGTGAAGTATCAGGGGTAACGTCTCGCGAACCAACACGACTTGATTGACTGTCAGCTTCGTCTAGAGACGTAGCATTATGACTTATTTAGTTAGACAGATAGTGACTCTCTAAACCTTGTGAAAGTCCAGATTCCCCTGCCTTAGATTGCTTTGAGACCTTAAAATCCAGTAGTAAGTTATTAATAACTGAATAGATTCTTTTCAGGTGAGTCAGTATCTATATATCGTAAATATTCTTGGTGAATTTGTATACTGTCCACTTTTCCTTACTATCTAGAGCCGTGAAGTCGAACGTATGGATCGCATAGTAATAGAAGGTTGTCTTTTCTCCGTCGAGCACAGGGTAATGACCATATATTCGTACTGTCCGGTGATCGTGCGAGACTAAAAAAGCGAGGATCTCTCGATGGAGTTCCTTTTTGCGCTTTACTATCCTGAATAGTTCGATAATACCCCTTACTGCGAGTGTCATGCTGTGAGCATTCTGTCGATCGGCGACATCGAGGGCTATAGCGCCGTACTTTACTTTGCACGTTAGGAACGGGAAGTACATCTGCTAAGTAGCTATGAAATGGGACGTAAAAGTATCTGGAACCTCGCCGACGAAAGGCTTAAGCTTTTCGAGTTGATCGTCCTTAAACGCAGACCGTCCGAACCCTATCGAATAATCAGGTTGTGGGCGAGGACCGTAAAAGGGTTCGGCGTAATTCCAGCCTTCATTGACACTTTCATTTAGAGCCTTGAGATGTGTCGCACCATAGATCTTTAGTACTTGGGCAGACGGACATATTAGTGAGGAAATGTCTCGAACAACCATAGCTTCGTTTCTTGCTCGCACGCCCTCGCAAGTTTCGTCGAACAGATCGTCACGAAACAGTGTATCTTAGGGGACTGATTATTCTGCCTCAAGTAAAGTTTGACAGAGTTTCTTGCTTGCATTTGTGATACCCAAGACGAACTTGCGCATAAAGCTGCCCTTCGTAGAAAGCACAGTCTCATAGCTTGGGCGCTTATACGGGGTGCTTTTGGCTTCCCTCGTCTTCAAACCTGGCGATGACAGAGCGCAGTCTGGTTGTACTGCACCCAAGAATCTCGCGGCAGACAGGATTAGAGAGAGTACCCCAGGCCATGACTTCGATGCCACGAGGATCTTTGACATTTCCCCACGATAACTTTTTATCGGATGAAAATTGACCCTCGATCTGGAAGTCGACAATTCCCAAGTCCTTGCTAGAAATAGAATCAAGGAAGTCCTGGCAAGCACGGTATGTGGCAATGGTTACCATGTTCTGTCCGGCTGCATCGCCGCAAGTATACCGAAATTTGATATGAACGGTCCTGCTAATAATGTGTGGTGTGACTTCGATAAGACGCGCATATCGACTGGTCTTGTCACTGCTTGCATCGAATAAATGCTTGAGCGTCGGTACGCGGTAATAGAACTGGAGAGTATCGTTGACGGTTCGAAAGATAAAGACAGGAGTATGAGATAAGCCCTCGCTCAAGGTTATAACTTGGATGCTACCAGTTGCTTGGAAGGCTTTGCAGCCTCGAGAACAACTTGCAACAAGTGTTAGTTCGACTGTCGCCAAAGGAGCGTATACCGTCCTCTTTGACTCCCCGTGGATGGTTAGCGGGCCAGCTAGACCAAGGGGTACCCGTATGAAGCCAATGCAGTTTTCGATCTTAATGTCTCTTGTGTCTTCGTTACGACAAGATAGTAATTTCTCTGCTGCCCTCTCTAAGTTTTGCGTTCGATCCATTATATATACTACGGGTATAATGAAGTATAGCGGTAAAAGAAACCCAATAGAGGCAGAGAGGCGGCAAATTGTTAATAGATAGCTTGATGAAGAATTCAAGAGCGATATGAAGTTCATAGTTCTTATCGCTTTATGGATTAAGGGTAGTATGTGATATGTTAATCTATTCTTTTGGCAAATTCATCACATCTCCGAAGCCGTATCCAAGTGAAAGTAGTGGATTGACACAAACAGACCTGGACTAATTCAGAGGCTGAATGAATAGATAAGGAGGCAAGGGATAGAAGCATGGGGCAGAAGCAAGGGGCAGAGACAGGGGGCAGAGACTGCGAAGATCAACATCCTAGTCGCCCAATATAATGACAAATGTAAAGACCCACTATGCAGTTCAAACAACATTTGGTTGCTCACACCGAGCTAAAATTGTAGCAATGATTTCATGCTAACGCTCACGATGCTATCACTGCCTCGCCACTGGTAGCTTGAATGATCCTCCGTGGCGCTATCTTGGATGGAGCGAAGACGGCTCTCATGGGATTTGGGGGCCAGTGCCAGATAGAGGCAACGGGGTAGCTTCTACTAACGAGTAATAATGTCTTTTCCACCTTAGAGCCCAGACTCATGTTGACACGGGAGGACGACAATGCCTCGTTCAACCGAGGAAAGTAGTGAGGGTTCCCGACGACACAGGCAGGGTTTGGAGCCTGTGTGCCGCCTTCAAATATCTACCTCAATGCTCAGATGGTCAATCTAGGCAACGAAAACAGAATACTTGATTCCAGAGCTCGATTATACGAGCAATACCCCCTTTTACGACTCTCCTGCCGTACGATGGCATTCCTCCCCCTCTCTCGACGACTGCCGTACGATGGCACCCCTTTTCCTTCGACTTCTCTTCTACGACTGCCTTGCAAATAGCACCCCTCTCTCCCTCCTCTTACGACAAGAGCACCTGTCGAAGCCGATACAAGACGAACGTATATCTATACCGCTATTAATACTATAAGATGAGATTACTAGCCGATATTCCTGTGAGGAGTGCCGGGTAAGCTGGAATGGGCTAGAGTAGTCTAGCTAACCATAGCAGGGAGCAGACGAAGCCTTGTCGCAAGAGATCGACTCTACAGCTATTGATTATAGAGGAGGAGGCTTTCTGGAGATGTGTACGGCTTGGATTGGATCGGTGGTTGCGATTGGATTAGGTGGAGAGGAGGAAAGAAGACACTGCAATGACTAGTCAGCTGACGCGATCTCCTGGATCGTGTCACGTGATTTTAGATCCTGGCTTCTGTCTGCGGTTCGCAGACGTACGACAGTGGCTAGTTAGTTGCGTACGTGGTTTGGTTCTATTTCTGGCTCTGTATTAGCTGTAGAGTGCTCAGGGACGAGCACTTCTATATAGGGGGTCGGATGTGGCCCCTGCGCAGCTGTATTTAACCCACGACTCTCTTGCAGTCCTCTCTTAGCTCTCTAGTCAAAAACACCAGTTTTTTGCACTCCCTCCATTTCTATGGTTGTATCGCCTTGCCCTTTTACATTATACAAAGGTCACAGAGAATTCCTCTATAGTATATATAATTAAAGACGACGCAGCAGAAGTTAGGGAGCATGTTTACTATCATAGCGGAGGAGTATTTATAGGCTTAAAGACATTAGGGGGAAGTTATGGCTGCCTTAGGCAGCATTGTGTATTTAGGGTGCGCCTGTATCACTCTCTCCAATTCAACCCACCTTTACACCCCAGTGCGCAACACGATAGTCGAAACGCAGCTAGGCCTGTAATGGCTGCGAGAACGCGCTACGGATAGACCCGGAAACTCCAGTCTCCACGAACGAAATGTGGCGTGGACTTTGCCGTATCTGCTTTAGTCCGACACCTTGCCTCATTGGAAACGGGGCAACCTTATCAGTGACACAACTCCATTCCACATGCAGGTGACGACATGTTCCACCAATGCGATTGGTTGGGGCCACTCCCACCACTTACCTATTAGTCATGAGATAGTTCTATCATATGTGAAGGAGCTAACCCCCCGCATGATTCAGAACACCATCCAGGCTCCTGCACAGCCCGCCACGGATCTGAATGCTCCACAGAGAGCCTTGCTGATGGGGGATTTAAACCGTAGTTAAGGACCCCCGATTCCCGGCTCTGCTACAGCATACCCTAGCCATGTAATTTTCGGTTTGCCCAAGAAACGGTGGTATTGGGATCATCTTATCCCCCTCCCATTAAAGGTCAGAACAACGCGATCTAGAACAATATTTATTCCAATAACGGCCCCATACACCCAGGCACACACCAGTACTACGATGTCGCTACATGAACAACTTTGGTCATATCTGGAAAGGTATAAATGTCCTCTCAGCGGAAAAGAATTCTTGCCATTGGGTATTTTGGAAGAAAAAATCACAAGTGATATAGTTAAGAAGGAGCTGTGTGGAGATGGCTGGGAGAAGCAGCTGACCCTGCTTCGCTACCCTAGCCTCCCACAGAAAGTATCACAAGACGCAAAAAAGGTCTTTGCTATTCTCGTGCTTATTGGTAACCCCTGGGCGATAAAGCGTTTGATTCGAGAAGGTCTCACCGATAGGCATCTTCCTCTCCGTCAGGGTGGTAGTGGCTTTCTGGAATCTTCCGACAACACAACATTCAAATCCCCTGGTGCTTGGGGGACAGACGCGACAGTTAAACTGTTCATCGACAAACAGTGGTTGGTCCTAGCTCCTGTATTGGACTCGACTGGTCAAGACATTAAGCTTAGCGACAAATGTAAATGTGCCTTGCCAATTTGCGATGCCAATCATAGAGCTATCGACGGTTTCTCCAGCAAAGTCCGGAAGGGCATTATCCCTGCAGGCCATCAAAAAGGTTTCAAGGTAGGCGAGGCCCTACCCTCAACTAGCACATTAAAGAATGCTAAGGATCCGTTTAAGGTAGAGGGGACTTCACTTGACATTGCAATTAAAGAAATCACGGACAAGGATATCTTCCTCCTAGAGAAGAAGAATTTGAATGATATCCGAAGACTCCAACACCGCCACTTGATCAAGCACATTGCCACTTGTCAAATCAGAGACGGCTATTGTTACGCCATATTGTTTCCATGGGCTAGCGGTGGAAACCTTTCGAATTTCTGGACCCACAAGGATTCCACAGAGCGAGCACCAGATCTCTTTTTATGGTGTTTCCAGCAGCTGCTTGGTCTTGTCGACGCCTTGAAGGCTTTACACAGTATTAATTGCCGCCACGGTGACCTTAAACCGGAAAATATTCTCTACTTCAAGGAAGGTGACTATCTTGACATTGGTGGAGAAGGGGTCTTGGTCATCGCAGATGTTGGCGTGTCTAAAGTTCATGTGGACCGGACGGTTTCCAGACCCATGGGGACAAATACTCATGCCACTACGCCCTCGTACGAAGCCCCTGAGGCTCAATTCGACAAGGACGCCGCCAGGGCGCGTAGATACGACATGTGGTCAATTGGTTGCATTTTCTTAGAATTTGCGATCTGGCTCTTGTACGACCTCGACGCAATCAAAAACTTCCGGAAGTGGAGGGAGGAATCTAGATGCGATCCGATAACTCCGAAGGCCAGCTTCTATGACCGCCCTACCGAAGGAATTGTCGATGTCCAGCCAGCAGTCCGCAAGATGATGTATCAGCTACGGAACAACTCACGGTGCCAAAATGGTACTGCGCTAGGAGACTTCCTGGATCTTATCGAGAACGATCTTCTTTTGGTGGAAGTATCACGCCGCTGTCACGCTGCTGAATTATACAACAAGCTTAAGAAGATAGTTCAGGATGCTGAAGAGAATGCGTCCTACTTACTCAACGACGCTGACTCTCATCCACCCACTCCTCTGATTTTTGTCGATTAGAAGCAGGGATCTGGCCATTTTCGAGCTTCGAATCTGCCATATCAGTAGGGGTGGGCCTGATGGAGTGACCTGCGAGACGAATGCTTTTGCTGCGGCTTAAATGTATGGGTGCCTTTGTTACAATAACATATAAGGATTGTGCTGCGGTAGAGGAATTTTTTGGGGGTTTTTTGGGGGGTTTTTGGATTGGAGAGGGAATTAGTTCTGCCTATTCTTTTTTTTTTAAGTCGGCGCTCCTGGCTGCGCATCGAGGGGACGCGACCAGGTAGATCAGAAGTCGCTGGGTAGGGCCACCACTCACCACCTCATTGGTAAGCAGGAGAATGGGAAGACCTTTGATATTTCGAGTGTATTTTTTCACTCTTCTCCTTATGTTTCATGAAAAATAAGATAGGCATCGCCCTGCAGCAAAGGAACCCTAGCGGAGTATCATTCATCTAAAGACTAAGTTGCGCACCCCTCGCAGCCATAGTACGAGAAGATAGTGTACAGATACTAGAGACGCATTCGAGTTACTAATCATCCGGCAGATAGCGCATGCATGGCAACGTTTGGCCTACCGACTTCCGCATAACACAGGCGACACAAAGTCCCAATAGCAAGACAAGGAGGCTGAGAAGTGAGGTATTGATGCCTAACGACCGTGGCCATTCACGGCAAACTTTTCTGCTGTGCACTGTTGGCGGAAATGTCAGCGCAGTGTGTGGAGAAGGCCGCGAGCATGTTTATATCCAACATTTGCCTTCTCCCACAGTGGAAGCTGCAGCATATGCCCAATTGTATTCCAAACACTGGGAGAAGCCTCGTATGCAGGTGAAGAGCCTGGCCAAGTTTGACGCAACCCGTTACCTGACGTATTTGTCTCATCCACCATGTGGTCCGCCTTGCTCCCGACTGTGATTTGCTGGCCTACATTCTTCTTTATCTATCCGCACCGCCCCCTGTCTCGATTTTGATCACTAAGAATCGCGAGCAAACTGCATCTGACCTTCTTACCGGCACTACTCAAAAATGTAGTGTGGTATCACCCGGTTGGGTGCCACACCACCAACTTGCAGATAGACAGACCCTAGCTAAAGCCAATGAAGCGTCCTTCGGTTCAACATCATATGCCAGTTTCTGGGTGCTAACTGCAAGAACTGCGGATGACTAACGTGTTGGGGGTGGTCTATATTTTAGTTGGCCGCCCCCAACATGTACCTAGAGTAGGTATCTATCTGTGCGTTGGGTATGAAAATGGCTCATGCCCAACCTCTCCCCGTGCGGATTGCCTAACAGCCTCGTCATAAATCGCGAAACTTATTGCCCCTACAATCATGTTCTTGCCTACCAATTTCCGCATCGGAGTTCCCAAATCAACAATGGGTACTGATGGGCTCTTTACTCATATAAATGAAGGGCTGGCTAGCGGCCTCCCGGACGGGAAGCCCTTTCTCCCGCACGACATCTTTGAGAAACTCTGGGCTGGCGACGAGGCTAAGCAAGAAATACAGAAGCAAACAGGGTTTTTCAAAAAGCTCATAAAGGATCAAAACTCAACTCTCGTCGATTTCGTCAAGAAATCTGCCAGGAAAGTCTTTGCAATTCTTGTCCGTTCTAATCTCGTCAAGAAGGTGTCAAATCTACCAAAGCACAAGTTCATGGACAATCATCTCCCGATCGTGGTAGAAGGTACACGAGTCACGTCATACAATCTTCTGGCAGACGATGCGGCTCTGGAATGGTTTCAAAGCTGGACTGTACAGGAGCGAGTACTATTCACTGACGCGCAGTGGCTCTTCCTTGCTCCTGTATTCGCCAGACAGTCAATAATGGAGCAACTTCATAGCAAGTGTCCGCTGCCTTTTCTCAAGTTCGACAAGAAAGGTTCTGGCGGTTTCAGTACTCTGTACCAAGCTCGCATACACAAAGATCACATAGAGTGTTTAGACGAGGCACGTTATCGTTCTGCCGGATAGAGATACTCTGTTCTGACACTTCATAGAAGCACGAAATTGCTGTCAAGGAGCTGGAAGAAGACCTTGTTACCGACAAGGCCTACGAGGTAGAAATCGACGCTCTGGAACTGGCTCGGCAACTGCAGCATCCACACCTTGTCAGCTTCATTGCTGGGTTTGAACGAGCAGGAAAACGCTACATGATGTTTCAGTGGGTTGACGGCGGCAACCTTCGAGAATTCTGGCAGAATCACAGTTGGTCGCGAAATATTGACATCATCCGATGGGCTTTGGAGCAGATGAAGGGCCTTGCAGAGGGGCTCGAAGCGCTCCATCACTTCAACCCCAAGAAGAATAAGAACTGCCGTCATGGAGACTTGAAGCCCGAAAACATTGTCAGATCGCGGAAGTCGGGGTCCTTTGGACTCCTCCAGATTGCCGATATGGGATTAGCTAAGATTCACTCGCTTCCTACGGTTCTTAGGCCCATTGCGACGACGACACTCGCCGGCACGATACGTTACCAACCTCCTGAGATTCAGACTAGCACATCAGGCAAAAGGTCGCGCTCGTACGACATTTGGTCCATGGGTTGTATTCTGTTCGAACTCATCATCTGGCTTCTCTTTGGGCCAAAGGGATTGACAGAATTTGAGAGTTCCTTTGATAACCCCACCCAACCATTTTTTCACATTTATGAAAGCAGCTCCCTTCGGCCCAATGTCAACGCCTGGAAAGAGCATCTTGAGAAGATCTGCCTCAGCGATTTGGAGATGTGTGTCAGTCCAGCTCTAAAGGAGCTTTTCAACTACGTGTGCAAGGCGCTTCTCGTTGAGGACCCTGAATCAGATGACCCGGGACTTCAGATGATGAACTCCAATGTTGATGGACGGCAAGGCAGCATCAGCCCCTCCATTCCGAGGGTATTGGTCCAGCGAGCGACAATCCGGATGAGAACCACATCAAGGGCCAATATTACGGATTTGAAGAAAGAACTCCATAGAATTTGCTCGAATAGTTCTCTAGATTACTTCTACAGGAAGGAAACCGAAAAATTCAATGTCACCTGGGACGTACTGGATCACGAGGACATCGCTTCACAACTTCAGGTACACCCAGGCCGCACCTCACCGCGTTCAGGGGCCCGACCACAACTACAAATTGCCGATATTCAGGTACACATTCCATCCAAATGCGATACACTGACTCTAATGTTGCCATGCTTCTCAGAATGTAAGCTGCCTTCACGTTTCATCGTCGTCTGGCCGACATTGCCAGCAAAGCTTTTCCGCTCTTACGGGAAAAGTAGTCTTATTGGCTTTTTTCTTTTCCTATTTTGAGTCGCGACAAGTCCACTGTTTCCTGACGTCCTCACTCCGCCTTAGGGCCACCTTCCAGCTCCTACCTAGTTAATCCAGTACAAAATCTTCGCTAACAATTAGCTGCTCACAGCCTGTGAGTTCTCCAGAATGACAAAAAATCGCATTGGGACTTATATAAAACTAACCACGCCTTTATTTCGGTGGTCCAGTATGTAAGTACATAGATCTAATACCGCCTGCCTCAGTTTAGCGTGACCCGTAATGCGGTACTGACCCATCACAGGCAGTAAGTAAACATACTTCCCACCTTGCTTAAGAGCGATGTAATGGGAGGGCGTTGACAATCTATGTCAGATTGTGAGTTCGCGTAGAATGATGTAAAGACCTGCTAGGCTAGCACTGACATGTAGTGTGACTTGTCTACTTAGCTTGTAAGTCAATATTCTACATTATGGTATACTGTAAAGTAAAATTTGCACAGAATGGCTGATATCTTAGTCACAGCCTGTATGTCATCCTGTTTAACACCCTCGGAGTTTCGAGTCAGGGCTTTCTTGAGGATGGTACTAATTTCACCGTATCAGCTATCAGATACGTGGGAAATCTGTAACGACAATATCTTCGCACGAGACTTTTTCAGAAACATCACCTCAAAAACCCTAGACCAGGATTTTCAAGCATTAGAAAAACAGAACACAAGATTGTGCAACCACTGCTCGAATCCAACTTCAGGGATCTTTTCTAGTGAGTTTTCTATCACTCTTGACCAGGCAAAGTCAACTCCCCAGTGTGATCTCTGCCAAGTTTTGTCGTCCCACATGAACAGCGACGTTGGGAAATCTAACAAAAGCGGTCTTGAATTCACCCAACTTTTGCGAATCGGATCATCTTTAGCACCGTCCTCAACAGCATCGCCAATACTTTCTATCGTCATTGGCCCAGGCAAGCTTTTCTGCTCCAAACCTAATTCCGATTATACCAACCTAACTTAACCTCGTCGCTAGGATGCAATAACGCCCCCTCATACATTCAGAGAGGATTTCCTATCTTGCCAAAGGCTGGAAGCCGAACTCAAGCCCGGCTTTTCAAGCACTGGGCCGAAGATTGCGACAAGAACCATAGTCGCAGCTGCTTCCAGGTTGACGTCCCCCAGCGAGCACCGACGAGACTCCTGGACGTAGGCGATACTTCATTAAGCACTATCAAGCTCGACTGCTACCCGAAGGATCGCAAGTCTAGCTGCTATGTTGCCTTGTCGCACCCTTGGGGCCCAGATGAAAGCAAGTGGTTCCGCACGACATCAGAAAACATCAAGGAATTCAAGAAATTCATCGACTTTAAGCAACTGCCACAGAACTTTCAAGACGCGGTGACAGTGACAAGAAGTCTAGGAGTCCGATACCTCTGGATTGACTCTCTCTGCATCATACAGCAGGGAAAAGACGGAGATTTTGGCACAGAAAAAGAATTCATGGAGGACTATTACGGCGGCGCGTACTGTACAATTTCCGCCAGCTCTGCAAGGGGGACAAGTTCTGGATTTCTCAAGTCACGCCTCAATGTCAGAAAATCTTATGCCTTCAACAGCGGGGCCGGCCCTAGTCCTGAGCCCCACAAGTCGGCCTTTTATATCTGCGACGCCATCAATGATTTCGCCCGCGACGTAGAGGAAAGCTACCTCAGCACGCGCGGCTGGGTATTCCAGGAAAGGGCACTCTCGAGGCGTACGCTTCATTTCACAGAAAAGCAAGTCTATTGGGAGTGTGGTAAAGGTATCCGCTGCGAGACCATGACCAAGCTTTTCAAGTGAGTTAAGAATATCCCTACGGTCGGATGATAGCCATTGAAGGTTAGTAACACCCCGTCAGCCGGAAGTCATCCTTTTTGTCCGACCCACATTTCCCCGAGTCCGCCGCGAAATATTACAAGGGGATGCGGATTGAATTCTTCCAGTACATTTATTCGAAGTACTCGGGACTCGATTTCTCGGCAAATCATGAAGACGATAGATCTGTAGCTTTGCGTGGTCTTGAAAACAGGATGGCGAAGGTCTACAACGTGCCAGCGTGGCATGGCATCCTGGACGGGGAATACCTTCATCGAAGCCTTCTTTGGCAGAGAGACATGGTGAAAACCAAATCATTACACGAGATCAGCTACGAAGATGATAAGAGAGTTCCCTCTTGGTCCTGGATGGCGGTCATGGGTCCAATCAGGTACATGGATGCCCCATTCGATTGGATGGAGTGGAATAGAGACATCAAAACACCGCTAGGATCACGATCTGCGGCTCAGACCGCTACGGACTTCGAGGTTCCGGCGTACAACGCTAAGCCAGACGACAATTCTCGGTCAACATACGATGGTGGGGAAGAGGTGGATACCTTCGAGAAATTAAAATGCGTCATTATTGGGTGGGAAAAAACGGAAAAGGCCACAGATTCGAAGGACTTCTATGTTTTGCTTGTGACTCCCACTGATCCGAGCGGAAGTGGTGTTGATCACAAAAGGGTAGGGGTTGCGAGGATGACAGTGGACGAAATTGGCTCTACAGAATTTGTGGTAAAAATTGTTTAATGAATACATATACTTGGGTATTACTTAACTTAGCTTGCTCGTTAATGTAACGACACAGGGGCTCATATGCTAAGAAGAGGCCCTAAGGCTTTCAATTAGACTAACTAGAGCAGTACCCTATAGGCCTGCTACGAAGGAAACAAAAAAGATAGAGAAGAAGAAAGGAGAGGACGGCGAAGGAGAGGTAATATAACCTGCGACGCTAGGCCGTAAGCTAAGAACCCCTGAGCCCCTGAACGAGCGGGCACGTGACTAGTCGATCCATCACAATTTTGGTGTAATTTGGCGTTCACGGTTCGCTGATCTTCACGGCTTGCTTATTCAGCACGTTAGTGTATACGTATTGGCGGCCCCTGCTTACGACTCTGCCGCTCTGCGGACTCTCGGCAAGCTGCTCTCTCTCCCATGCAACTTGTCCATCTCTTTTGAGGAGTTGTCTTCGCGAGCGAGGAGAAGCGACAGGACGCAAACACGTTCCGAGGATTAGCTGAGAGGGAAATGGTTCCAAGGTAAGCTTCAAACGCTCCCAAGGGGTACCCAAATTTTTTTGGATGAAATTGCATCGTCGGCTACCACAAGTCGTACTAAGTTACACTCTCCGCCTGCTGCTTCGCTTCTCCACCTCTTCAACTGCCTCCTTCACCTCCTAAACTACCTCCGCAGCGAACCCCCCTCTCCCGACCTGGCAGCAGCCCTCCAACCTTTCTGGAGGCAACTTGCTATCTCCATTATCGGCTTCACAATTTGGCTCTGATCAACCTGCAGTCTTTCTGCCAAGGCTACCGTCTCATCAGTGCCATCCCCGTGTTAGGACACTCACCCTCTTCCGCTGCCTACGTTACGGTGAGCTTTTACTTCAAAGGAGGCCAGCGCGAGAACATGTTCGAGAATAGGGGCTCTGAGACTTCACTAGATCATGTCAACCGTTGCGGTCTTTATATCCATCTTGCAAGGCCACGAATTATCTATCTACTGGTAGGTAGTCTGCCTATTAAGTTGATGACTCTTCGATCCCCCTTCTCTATCCGAAGCCAATTTTCTTTTTCTCCTCTTGCTGATTCAGATGCATGTAAGATGAGTGAAGCGCCGAGAACGACTTAACTCTCAAGTCGAACGGATCTACGAATAATCTTCGCCGAAAATAACGGATACAAAGAGCGGGAAGTGCGGTATAGAGGAACAATTATGGGGATTGTAGATGTTCTACAAGTGCTGCTGCCTCCAAATCGACGCCGCATCATCTCTACTGCAGAACGGTTGGGTTGGGTTGCAGAGACCTGCCTTTTGCGGTGAGCCTCCCACATCTAGTCAGTTAGGGCTGTTGCTATGTCAGTTCTGTCGTCTCATTAGTCCTCGTTAGGACTACTATGCCTCCTGCTACTTGTATTACAGTTAACTTTGGCTATAAGGGAAGCCACAGATAAAACAAATCAGAGAATAGGGCGCTAAGACTTTATTCACTAATATCCATAACTATGGTCTTATTTTCCCTTTTATAAGACTGCTGGTTATCTATTTATTTGTAGGTAGTCTGTCTACTGTTTATTACTCTTCCTTCTTCTTTATTCTTCGAGGTAATAGCTTTTACCTGGCAGATTTCGAAAGGCGCTTCTTAATGTCTTCTGGTAGTATATTCTTTGGGAGAGGATAGGTAGTCTACTAGATAAGTATTAGTACCGGTTATATATTTCAAGTAAGTAACCGCTTTACTTACTATCTCTGCTATAAATAGCGGCTACGATATATAGTCCCTGGATCTGTATATAGTGTATTGACTATGCTTATAAATGATTAGAACTACGTCGATACTATTGAATTCCCCTAATTTATAGGCTTTCTTAATTAAGGTATCCTTTCTCTTATTTAACCTCTCGTTTTTTCTTTTTCTTCTTTTCCCCTCGTCGTTTCGTTTAATATTTATAGTATCTATTAATACTAAAGGGCTATTATAGAGGTTGAGGTAATCTGCATAGCTCAGTTTTGATATACTTCGAGCGTTAAGCCTGAGGTATTTGAGAGTCGTCTATTGTTCTGGGCCGTGTTTTGTTAAAGACCCTCTACTCTGATAGTTGTCTTTGAAGGCTTTCGTATTAGCGGCTAACAGGAGCATAGGAGCCAATTTTGAGCCCATGGTTTGATATTGGATAATAAGGGCCTGAATCGGTCCCCTTTAAACCAAAGTGGTGGGAAGCCGTATTTGAACCCTTAATCCTCCAAATTCTTGGCTGATGGAAGGGTTTGATTACGTAATGGAGGGCCTGAATCAGTCCCCTTGAATCCAGGTGGTAGGGAGCCAGATGTGGACCCCTTTAATTCTAAAAATGGGTTAAGCTCTATAAGCTCTCTTAATCGATATTGACCAAGGTGTCTCTACCTTCAGAGTAGAGAGATCCTAGCAGCTCTTAAACAGACATTTTCTTTCATACTTTGCAAGGCAGACAAGACTGTAACGGCCACTTTTGTATTAACGCTAAACTCACATGTACCTGTCTATGTGCCATGCAGGCTGTATTTCCTAGTAACAGGAAAACCCGCTCTTGCGTATTTTGCTATGGTCAACATTGGGCAACACAGACAATTAAAGTAGCGGAGCTCAGAGCCAAGGATCTCTTTAGTGTAGTCACTTCCGATCTACATACTCTTTAGCATGGTTTTGATAGATCTAATTTGTTGATTTATGCCCTCTTATTTGATTACAGCCTATATGTGACTCGCTTAATCAGTGTGAGAAGAGTTGTGACTGTAATATTATATATGTAACAAGGTCTAGCTAAGAACCATTTGCTAATTTCCATGGCTCCTATGAGAATATTGCTTCTGAGATAAGTATCTTAGGATGTTATGGCTCGTAGGACCTCACAGATCTAAAGAGAATACTCTTAGGACTATTAATATCGTAGGAGGACTCTCCCAAGATAATTCTCCTAGGGGAATTCTCGTAGGAGCCTGAGATTTTTGGGAGAAATCGCTTAGGAAATTTCTCCGAGGGTTTTTCTCCTACGACTAAACACGATGAGGTTACAGCACAAACTGCTAGATTTACTAGAAGATACATATCTCTGCTTTTGGGTTTGAGGAGGTGGGTTTACTTTGAGGTCAAGGCTCGGCCTTGTTAAAGTATGGCCTGAAGAATGGAACTAACGATGTTTTGACCTATTTTGGCTAGAACATCAACGCTAAAAATATCCCTTAATGGAATGGAACTAACGATGTTCTGACCGTTTTGGTCAGGTCATCAACGTCAGGAGTATTTCGGCCTGAGGAATGGGCCTAACATGTTCTGCCTTTTGATCATATCAAAATTATTCTGCCTGAGGCTGGCACATCCGTTTCGCTAGCGCTTGCACACCCCAGCGTCAGGGAGCCGATTTGCCCATCCCCAACGCCAGCGCTCGTCAAGCGCCATCGTAACGGATGCGCTAGCGTCAGGGAGCCAATTTCTGCTCCCTTTTCAACGCTGGCGTTCCTCAAGCGCCATCGTAATAGATGCGCCGGCGTCAGGGAGCCAATTTCTGCCCTTTTCAACGCTGGCGCTCCTCAAGCGCCATCGCAATAGATGCGCCGGCGTCAGGGAGCCAATTTCTGCTCCCTTTTCAACGCTGGCGTTCCTCAAGCGCCATCGCAATAGATACGCCGGCGTCAGGGATTCTGCTCCCTTCTCGCTGCCGCTCGTCAAGCGCCATCGCAACGGATGCGCCAGCGTCGGGGAGCCGAATTCTGCTCCAATCCAACGCTAGTGTTCCTTATGCACCAGCGCCTTGGGAGTACTCGAAACTATTTTAGATTCGGAGTACTATAATTACGACTATATTAGTTTGAAATAATGTACCTCGAAGTGGTTACGTCTGAAGTATGATACCTTAATATACTACAAGATCGCGTATATGCCTTATTTATACTTCAAGTCAAAGTAGTCCGAAAAATACTAGTGTAAGTCGGACTGCTTTAGCTTGAAGTATACGAATTCAGCCTAGTAGAACTTCGAGCAAGCTGAAGATTTCTATTAAAACCTGTCGTATGTACGGGTACTAGGGAGCTTAGCTTCGCTTACTCAGCGGCCCCTTTTATTTCCAGAGGCTCCCTTTAGAGCTTCTTTTAATCAGACAACCACTTATGCAAATCACTGTTCCTTGCTATTTTGCGATAAAACCCAAACTATTCCAGCTAATAATATAAAAATCTAGAGCATTCTTATAGTCTATATTACACCGACTAATCGGAGTGATTTGAACTCAAAATCTCTAAGATAGGTATATTTTCCGTCTATCCCTATAGTCCTTATTTTCCTATTAAATCCGTGATTAAGCTAAGTTATATTCGGGAATATTTTATTTACTGTCCCGCATATGTACGGCACCGTGCTCCTTACAGTACTCCCAATGATAGCCTCAATGACATCATTGGGCTCGCTTAAGCCTTGGCCCATCTCGGGAGCCGGCTGATCTCAGGCAGAACATTGGTGTATACACACCACTTGGTTTCTGCACAAGGTTTGTGCACACCGCTTGGTTTCTACATGAAACCATTGGTACCATAAACCCAGTGGTGCCATAAACCCAGTGGTACCATAAACTCAGTGGTACCATAAACCCAATGGTGCCATGAAACCATTGGTACTATAAACCCAGTGGTACTATAAACCCAGTGGTACCATAAACCCAGTGGTACCAAGAAGTGATTGGTGCAAACAATTTGTTGATACCATAAAGCTAGTGGTACTAGGAAGTGATTAGTGTCACGAAACCACGTGACCACGTGACGATGAGTCACATGATGAGTCATACTGAACGTCTATTTAGAGATGACACCCCGCACTATTCTTCTTGACTCCTTCGCGCTACGTCTTATATCTAGAATTAATGTATACCTTGACTTAAACCCTCACACTACGTAGCGCCAACCCAGATAACAACGACTAAAGAAATCAAGAAAATAACGATATTAAAGATACTTACGATACTAAAGAATAACTACGATAACACGAAAATACGATATAGGAT